TTTCGAAACAATATTGTGTATAACATTTTTTTCTAGCACCATGATACACATTATTATTCATCATTGCCAGCCATCATTTCTTTTTTTCACTTCTCTTTTTGCGACATTTCCCCCTTCCCTTCTTCCTAACCACTTGACCTCTCTCCCTTCCCCTCATCCTATCCAGCTGACCTTTCTCCTTTCACCTTTTCTCCTCCTCTCCTTTTTCTCCTTCTCCCCCCCCCAACTTATTCATCTTCCTTTTCCCTCCTCTATTTTCTCTTCCTAATCATTGATCCTCCCTTCTCCCCTTCCCTCACTCCCTTTCCCCTCTTCCCCCACCTCCCTTTCACCCTTTCCCCCCCCTCACTCCTCCCTTTTTCCCCCACTTTCCCCCCTCCTCCCTCCTTCCACTTCCTCCTCCCTTCCCTCCCCTCCACCCTCCCCTTCCCCCTTTCCCCCCTTCCCCCATCCTTCACTCCCCCCCCTTCCCCTCTCCTAACCACCGACCCACTCCCCTTCTCACCCCTTCCCCCTCTCTCTCTCTCCCCTCGCAGACTACTCCTGGGGACCCACTGGACGATCAAGGCCATGCAGAACTCGACCAAGGTCATGACGGTTCGCCACCCCCTCGAGCGCCTCGTGTCCGCCTTCAGAGACAAGTTCCTCGACGGGAAGGCCGTGCAGAAGGCGCAGTCGGATGGGCATTTGAGGTAGGAGAGAGAGGAGAGAGGGTGGGGGAGGGAGGGATGGGGGAGGGGAGGGAGGGAGAGGGAGGGAGGGAAGGAGAGGAAGGGAGGGAGGGAGGGAGAGGGAAGGAGGGGGAGGGAGAGAGAGAGAGAGAGAGAAAGAGGGGGGGGGGGGGAAGGGGGAGAAAGGGAGAGGAAGGGAGGGAGGGGAGAGAGAGAGAGAATGCTTTGGTTTGAAAAAAAAAAAAAAAATCAGAGTAGTTTACATGCCCTGTAAAAATCCAGGGAAAGATGTCCAAGCATCTACCTAATATGGCTGACCTTATATTTACTGCAGGGCCAAATTCAAACATTAAATATACATGCCTGAAGGGCTGCACCTTAGTGCTCGTCTTATTTGTTAACTATCTAATAAAAAAAAACATCTATGATATTACAAAAATGAACAGTTTCCTTAAATATTAAGCTTCCATTTTGGTACACTAAAAGTCACTGTGGGCCATTAGTTATCAGTTGATGATTTATAAGTCCTGCTACAGGTTGTAGAAGGGTAAACCGTTGTCCAATGACCACTGAAAACATTTTTTTCTTGGAATTGTAGTTGCTGAGCAAATTGTTTTTGCATCATGAGCATCATTTGCTCCATCTTCTGGATCAACATTTGTCCTGTCTTTCCTGTGGTGTAGGGGTCGGCGCTGGCACTGATGCAGGCGCAGAAGTCGGAACTGTTATACGTGCCGAAACATGTGTTGTAGATGTCGAAAGCGATGTCGATGTCGAATCAGGTTCTAAAGTCGACGTTGAAGTAGCAGGAGCTGAAACTGGCACTGAAGGGGCTGAAGCAGACCTTGAAGCTGACCTTGTAGCAGGAACTGAAGCAGACAGTAAGGCTGGAGAGACCGACTGCTTTCGTTCACCACACCTTGCCTCATTTATTCTCCTAAGCTGCGAGGGAATTCTGCCTCATCGTTAAGGCGAGGCTTTGGGATGAGGTTGCGAGAGGGCAGAACAGCCTGTTGCTTCTTTAGCAATTTGTGTTTTCTATCGATAGTATGCATCTCATAGTATGAGTTTGCATTTTTTCGGCGCCCATGTAAGCGGCCGCGCAGTACCGGCAACGTGGCTGCTCGCGGGAACAAGCGCGTACCCCGTACCAAGGTCTATATAAGTACTTATATAGACCTTGCCCCGTACCCCCATCTGGAACAGTTGGATCAAAATACGGTGAGCGATTTGAAGACAACGCGCGTAGAAGGTGCCATGCCCTCAGCAATTTTGATGGTTTGGGGGATTTTCTCCTCTTTTTATGTGAAGATGAGTCGCTGTGCCATCCTATCATTAAATTTAATGTGTTGTAGAATCTTTTCATTGTATTCCGTGATCTCATTGGTGTCAACTTCCCTCGGGACATCGAACACATCAAAGGTTAGCACAGTGTCCTTTGGCATAAACTTTGCTTATTTTGATTTCCCCTGTCGTAGTTATACGGGTAAGAATTTCTTCTTTCTTACACCGTACATTAGATATTATTTCGACCTAGTTTTAATTCTAGGGCTCCTTTACTTTTGTTCAAAGGGGCCATCTTCAGTACTTGAGACACCCAACGGTATTTATCCCCCTGTGTCGCTAGCTTTGTGTCCCTCCTGAAGTATGTACATAGATGGCTCGGGAATACAAGTTCTGCAGACTCATTACTTAACTTCTTTTTGCCTTTTTCTTTATTCGTCCGTGTTCGGTATTCGTGTCACTTGCCGAGACGTCCATCTTCGTCAACAGAGAGAAACGGGCCTGGCTCGTCATTGTACAAACGGGTGTTCAGATCATTCGCTGAA